ATATAAGAAAGTGAATATTTCGAAAAGAAGAAAAATGTTACATCTTCCTATAAAAGTGAATAATAATTAAGAATTTGAGGTAGAAGAAGTTTTAGATTTAAGGTGGCACCAAAATAGGTTGAAATAGTTTATTGACTAGTACATATATGATATTGATAAATAGACATTGGAGCATACTAAGAATCTTACAAATCTAGTAAAAAATATTTGATGCTCTTCATCAACAATATCTATTAAAACTAAAATGAAGAATAATAAATTTCTGATATTAAAATTTAAAAAAAAAAAAAAAAAAAAAAAAAAACACACAACAACAACAACAACAACAACAACAATTTAAAAAAAATGTATTCTATCTTCTATCTTCTATCTTTGTTTGTAGTTTCTTTGTATGTATATTGTTAAGAAGATGGAAAACCAACAATCAACAAATTCAATTCAAAAGCTATTATTTATTGATTTATTGATCAAAACATTATAATTATCGGAGCCTTTAAGATAACATAATACAGATGAAGATTCTTAAAAACAAGATATTATTTCTTAAATAGATGGTGAGATATAATACATTTAGTATCACAACATTGGAAAAAAATTCCAATGTTTGATAATTTTATTAGAGGTAGGAACAATTCTTGATGGAATTATAAATATTATATTTGAAGGGAATTACAAAGGCTTCAACAATGATCAAATAATATAGTGGTCTTTTTGTCCTAAAATAGGATATTATCAATGACTAAGAAGACCTATCAACTATCTTCAAAAGGAACAAAGATTAGAATATGTGGCAAATATAATTTATTGCATCTTGAATTTCATCAATATGGAATCACAACTCCTTATAGAACTTATTTTTAAAAGAAAAGGTAATATCATAGACATATATATATTAACTTTAATAATTATCTAGATAATATAAATAGATAGAAGTAAATTAAAATAAATAAATTTAATAATATCTTATAGAAAAGCTTTCTAAAATCTTCATAGAAGCAGATTTGATTTTATATGTATTTGTAGCTGATTGATAGGTTTAAAACTTGGCCAATAAATTAGCCATGTATGGCATATGTTGATAGCTTGTAGTGAAAGCTAACTATGTAGCATACATATAGAAAACTACCTTACAAATTAAAACACATGTCTTTCAAGTTGGACACATGTCAGAGGTCCTATAGAACATTGTTATATAGCTCCTAGTTAGATAGTATATATAGAGGCAAGAATGAAACTTACTTCACTCTTATCAATGCCTTTCAAGTCTTTAGTCTTATTTCAAAACTTTTTAGTCTTCTAGTCTTTTGCAATATCCATTCTAATTTAATATTATATTATTTTTAAGTAATTTTTTAGTCTTTTCAAGAGGCACAAGAGTGTCTTGATCTTTTAGTCTTTTGAGATTCATATCCTTAATATTGTCCATGTAAATCACAAAATATGACTTATTGACATTCTCCATTAAGTTTTTATTTAATATCCTTAATTAAAACTTAGCTACAAAATAAAATAGAATATTAGTGAAATCAATTAATTTGAAATATATTTTAAAGAATATTATATTATTAATATTTAATAATTATTAATTATTAATATTTAATAATTATTAATTATTAATATTTAATAATTAACATTTAACAATTTTCAAATGGTATATAATTTCATATTTGATTTGTGCTATTTCATTGTATTGATTATGAGATTGCTAGTTTGTACTTATTATATAATGTTTTTAACATCCATGAAGCACTAGATGCAATAAAAATCAATTATCTCCACAATGGCTGCTTATTACTAATATACTAGGAGTAGAAGACAAGATGTTTAATAGTTTTGACAATATCCTTAAGTAGATTTGACAAGAATTTTATCCCTACTTCAATACCAATTAAAATCTTCTACCTATTTATTATACAACCACTCCATCTATTATGTTTGTTTAAATCTCTAACTAGGTCCAATCTTAGAAATTATTTTCTTCCTATTTTTAAATTATTTGTGGTTAGAAGAAATAATATTTTTTTATTCTATAATAATGGCCATAATTTTTTCCATGGTCATTCTACCACCAATTAGCTTTTGTACAATTTGCATTCATGCTACAGTAAAAGTTTGTCAAGAAGATGCAAACTACACTTTCAGATAAATTCTTCTTATTATTGTTAGCTTCATCCATGATCATCTATTACAAAATCTTGATATATTGTGTTGATACATATCTAAGCTTGCACTTGTGTCCATGCCAATTTTCTTTCTCTTATTGCTTCTTCTCATGGATTTTAACTTCTTTATGTTTCTATTTTTTCTTCTCATCCTTTCTTTCATCTTTATTCTCTTGTCTATGTGCAAACTTTGCTATAATAGGCAATGAAGAAAAGATAGTCAATATTTTTCCACTTATTGAAAACTCCTTGATATTTAGAGGTAATAGTTGTATAGTTGGATGTGATATAATTTAATACATCAAGCAAACTAAAAATAAATTATATTTATAACAATATAACCTAATGCATAAGATAAAAAAAAATCCTTTGTGTATTTAGTCACATTTGTACAAGCATGTCATCCAATCCATCTATTTATTTCAATATTGTGAGCTTCTTTAAACTCATTCCTTTGCTTTATTTAATAAAACAGCCACATTTAATTGCCATATTTAAGTAAATAATCAATTATTATATGTAAACATGGATAATTTTTATTAAAAATTTAAAGACCAAATCTATTTTAAGTCTTTTGTATGTACATACAAAGTCCACACCACTTTCATAAGAAGTAGGAATACCAAGATTACAATACCAAGAAATAATATTACTTCAATATATATAAGATGCACCTATATATATTACTTCAATGTATATAAGGTATTGGTCATATAAAATTCTAATAATGAATTTAATGACAAAATAAAATGTAATTTTTTGTGTGCATCTATTTAAATACAAATTAGCTTGAATTTGTTTCTTTTACCAAAAAAAACAAAAAACAAAAACAAAAAACAAAAAACAAAAACAAAGTAGAAAATTCAATAATTGAAGGAAAAAGAAAAAAAAAAAAAAAAAAAATCAATATTGACAAGTTTACATACAGGATGTCAAATTCACAAAAATTTCCACATCTTGCAAGTAAACTTGTCAAATAAACGAGCAAAGGCTTCACCTAAATGAGAGCTATTCAAATTTATACATATCCTCTGAGATATGTACTTTATTTAAACAAACAAGGTATCTATTGAATAAATAGAGTTATAATAATACATTCAAAAGATAGACCTCTACAACTGCAAAAGAATTGATGCCAAAAAGGACTTGCATATTGAAGTGGGGAGAGGCATCTTCTTGCTTAATAATGTATGTATGTAAGAAAGAAATATAAAAAAAATTGTCTCATCTGTATTTAAGGTTAGATGCTTATTTATAAGATGACTCTCATATAATGCAATCTTTGAGAAAAATGTCTAATTCGGATTTCATTACCTTAATCAGTTGCACAAAATTGCCACAATTAGTAAATCAAGTATAGCCTTGTAATAGGTCCTGCCCACAATAGCTATCACCATTACTTCCAGAAGCAGCTAGAGAGCTCTTTTCTATGAATAATATATATCATACTAATTAAGAATGCACACTATTCAAATTTACACAATAATTGCACATATTGGTTTAGAAATATAACAACATTTGTTTGATTTTAAAAATAATTAATTAATTAATGAAATTACATGGAAGATGTCTATGCTATAAAAAGGAGTGTTCACCAAAAATTTCTAAAATTTATCATTGTTAAATCATTTTAAGAATTAAGTATATATAAATAAACATATAACCTATATTTTTCAACGGCTTTTGAATTTCTAAAGAACACAAGGTTATAAATCCCAACATATCTATAATTTAACCTCCTACTTAATACCACAAGTGATTACTAAGTAAAACTTAAAACAATACGAATTGTAATAATTTAATACACTACATTTTAATGTGCATTTTAACACAAACTATGGTGATGAGGTGCTTAGTCCCATTGCGGGTTGTGATCCTCGCAGTTCCCCATTCCAGCATAACCTTGGATATTAATTTTCAACCAGCTACGGGCTTGAGATTTGCTATCAGATAGATCCTGCGAAACATAGTCTCCATGATCTCAGACAGAAATTGCAGGCGGAACCACCCATGCAACAAACAAACAAACAAACAGCGCCATGATATCCAGCAAGCGAGCAGAATCCCCCGCCCCCCCCCCCCCTCATGCGTTGGTGGCAAATTTTTCAACCCAATTGCACAAAGTAATGCTTTGTTTTAGCAAGATAGTTCTACGAGGGTTATCGTCAGCAGCGGAAATTCAAGAAAACATTCAAACGACACAGAGTGAACCACAAGGGACTCATCACATGCTTGCAGTCAAATGCAGAACCACTAGATATTAGGAGATGCAACAAGTTTCTCATTCCAGAGAAGCTTTTTCAATATCGCACTTTCAGCGAACCACACTCTGAGCCACCCATCGTTCAATGATTATCTGAACTTGTGTTTTGTGAGCACATAGCAATTTCAGGTTATTATCCAAATAACAGCTTAGGCAGTTGACTAGTACTTAGTTGCCTCCTCAGATGTTGTGTTCAGGACTCCATGTATGTTGTTCCACAACCTGCGCTGTGGCTTTCACGTACTATTTTATCATTACTCAATCCGCACTTGGCCTTGCGCATAAAATTTTCTTTTTTTAGTTTCAGTGCTACTTTCTACATGTGCTCCATACGTGACCAAGGGAGAAATATGAATACTTCAACCCTAGCGGATTCAGATTGAGTGATTTGAAAGAATGTTATGGTAATTTGTGGTATGTGTTAGATAAACGTGGGATTACAGTGCTTGAACTTAAAAACAGAAGAGCCATACAATAGCACATAAACGAAATTCAAGCAGCATTGGTTTCAGTAAGATCCACGATATTCTTTAGTTCAAAACAAAATTAGGAGATAATTTCCACACCAACTTATCTTCTGTTCTGAATGCAACAGTCTCTTGACTGAACGGGCACCATATTTTAACATGGTATCAATGTACAATTACTGTTTGTGTAAAGCCAATCGGCACATTGTTGACTTTTTCAGTAGATCCATCGTAGCAACATCATCTCTACCTTTGCATCAAGAACTCTTGCAATTGATGATTAGGAGGAAGGTATTAAAACACTCCCAAAACTCGTATAGATTATATAGTGGCCCTAAGACCGTGGCACATACCGAATGTTATTATCATCGCAAATAGCCTGCAAAAAGCGATCAGAAGTAGAAGTTAACAGAAAATACAAAAGAATGCCAACATAAATTACCAACAATCACGAAAGGAAATATAATTAAAAATTGTGAAAGAGCCATGTGTGTGAAAACGAGAGTACCTGCATTTCTTCAGATAGTTCACCAGTGACAGTGAGCGCATAGCAACCAGGAACAAATTTACCTGCACGAAGAAGAAAATGATATGTCAGCTGATTCCTGTAGCAGTTTATACGAAAGTTTGTGTGCATTCAACCAGAAAACAGATAAATTTATACAGGTGTACAAACTATGCACTCTTAGCATGATTCTGGCACGGATATCTCATCAGATGCTCCAAGTAATACAGGAAACCAACTACATTGAGAATCCCTACACAGCGTAAGTCTAAGCACACCAGACTAGAACAAGACCATCCTTGCCTTCTAGCAACTCAAAACTAGGACTAGCCGGTACTGACCAGAGCCCATGAATCCAATAACCTACCACACCTCAGTGGATCCAACGTAAAAATGCATGCTTCTTAATCCATTACGGCACAACGGAGACTAACAAGCAGCACATCCTTAGATTTTTCATTGATTATAAAACCAGATACACCATAAAGCTGACCATTCACATGGGAACCACCACAAGAAGCCTGTTCAGTTGATTAGCAAAACGTGAAAAGAAAATGGCAACATACTTATTCGCAGCCATCGAGATGCCCAGCTACTTGTCGGATCCATGCATGAGATTACCCTGCAAGAAGTTGGCATTCATGAGATGCAAAACTGTTGTAACGTGTAGCGCTAAACTAGGCCAATTTTAGCATGACTCGACTAATATATCGAAGAAATCGAGACAAATAAATTGTGATACGAAAAAGACAATTAAGTGGGTGTAACGTCGCACAAGAATCAGTTTAAAGCATAGTCCTGCAGCCATTAATACCGGATGAGACATGTGAAGTTAGCATCGTGATCAACTTATTAACTATAGTTGGACATTGCCTAACCATTGGAAATTAGCAAGATCGCCTACCCTGCAAAGTTGGGAGTTGTGCACTCCAAGACACGATCGTGATCCTTATCCATGTTGAAGAACAAACAATTCTCGCAGCCATTTTCCTTAAACTGGATTTCGCAACACATGTGAAGACAAGCTTAGTATATACCTCAATGTATCAAACTAGACATTTAGAGGTCAACTCAACCTGCGATTCCACTAGTTCAACTTTGCATTCCGAGTAAGGATTTTTTTTACTTCTACTACGTCAAGCTCTAATTAAGTTGGTTTTTTTCTTCTGGAGCACTAATCTGGATTAAAAGGCTCCCCAACGTCAGGAGCAAGGGCATGCACTGCATTAGCAAATGAGGAAGATCAATCCAGAAACTAAAATGCCTCCAAACGTCTTCTTCATGAATTGTTCTAATTTAGGCTACATGCAAAAGAGAGCTAAACAAACCAACCTGATCGTAGGTTTTCATGAGAGAGCACCGCAAACAAACGCGCAATTCGCGACCGAAGCTTGTCGGCACTTGCGCGGCGCCTGCCATATTCCCCTTCCAGAACTCTACTGCCTATTGCCAAAAATCTTAGCAGTAGTCGCGAAACGGTCCAATTCCGTGCCCAAATTCGATCACCCGAAACCTAAACCCTAAACCTAGCCAATAATCTTCACAGTTACACTCGAGAGTTGGACAGGCCGCAGGCGTAATGTAAACGGCCGTCGACAATTTACTTCCACCAATTCAATGTACTAGATAATAGACGACCAAAACCTACAAACATCGAACTTTTCGCCAGTCATCTACGGCTCCAATACAAAAACTGTTCAGCAGAAAGCCCAAAAAATCCAAGCGCAACCCTGACAACGCACCTTCCGTTGAAACAGGATTACAATGCCCTAAGTTGACGAGGAGTGAGCACCAACAACGTGAAAAATGCGGCAGATGACGTAAGGGTACACTAATTTACAAGTAGAGGAATTTAAGGAACCAAGACGAAGGGCAAGGAAGCTAAAAGCTAATACAAAGAAAGCAGCAAGTCTAAGCGATGTTGTGCCGAGTAATGAGAGAACTACAACAGAAGAATGTGAAAACACCGTTCAGTTTGAATGAGTGCTAGAATGATGCTCGGATGAAACCTAGGTGCATACGATACCCGGGCATCGACGAAGCTTTCCCATATTAACGGGTATACATCGATCCTCTCACAGCATCAAAGGGCGGATTCTGCTCGTTAAGAACGGATACATCAGCTTTAGGTTTCTGGAGGTGGCATTTGGTCAGAGAGCCAGACAGCAAAGGTTTCTGCATAAGCTTTTCGTGGGTCCAAGAAGAGTCTAAGAGTAGCAAATGATGCTATGCAACCTGCTTCTCACTGACGATTGCAGATTCAAGTGGCATCACGCGAGAGACAACGGCCATAGTGAGGAGGCGAATCCAATGTTTGTCGTCTAGACAAGGTGACTATACGCAGCGCCTGTTGAACAGCTTCGACGCGCACTTCACCGCGTGCAGTGAGGTAGCTTCGGTCAAGGTAAACGCTGCAACCCCTTCCCAATTCTCAACAAGAGAGGATGCTGAGGCCTAAACGGTAGGAACAGTGATGACGACAACATTCAAGATAATCCATGCGCGGCAAGACCGTACCTGTGTAAGAAATATCTCGCTGTGTATTTAAAATACCTAGTAAATTTCTAGCGATGACCACATTGGCGCAGCGGCTGGATTAGCTCAGTTGGTTAGAGCGTGTGGCTGTTAACCACAAGGTCGGAGGTTCGACCCCTCCATCTAGCGAAGACTGTTTGTGTGAACGTCAGAAGTGATTATACCGACTGCGCTCCTTCTGCATTCCCAACACTGCGCCCTGATTCTCTTTTCTGTTCCATCGAGGAGTACTAAATGAAATAAACCAAACACATTATTAATCCATTAATATTAATCCATGCTTAAGCAGATTTAAATAACTCCAGTTAATTAGAAAAATTATAAACATGAGTTATGATGACTTTGTTAAATAATATTTTGGTTTAAATTTAGATAACTGTTAAGTGGACACCCCCCTTTTACTGCATGGACATCCCCTTTTCTTTGTGCCACTCAGCCCCGCATGTACACATTAATTTTTTTATTTACACTAGAAACATTGAGAGTAAACTTTCAATAAAAGATAAGGTGGACATCCCCCTTTACTATGAGGACATCTCCTCCATGCCTCATACACACAGTAATATCATCATCATATTAGTATTATTTAATTTACGGCCTTGCCCATCTCAACAATTGTGGACAATTGTGTTTATAATGCCCAATTTCTCTACTCTCTCTAGTAATTTTTCTTTTACCATTCTCCACCAATTTGACTATAGAAGATTCTTGTTGAGTAGATTAAAAATTTAGCCTTGCAAAGTATAGTAGCTAAACTAACCTTTCACAATTACTGAAAAAAAACAATGTTGCTAAATATGGATGTAATAATATGACTGATATTATTGTGCATATGTGGGAGTGTGTGACATGGAGGTGTCCATGTTATAAAAGGGGGTCTCTATGTAAGAGTTCCTTTTAAAAACACAAATAATTTTAAAACACTATTGTAAAACACAAATAATTTTTTAATGTATACAACTTCACCTAAACTCATGGCTCAATTATCAAAATAATTCTACAAAATTTTGATTAAAAAATAAATAATTGATTAATTTGATGAGGGTGTTAATAAATTAATGCAAAATCATGTATTTAATAAAATAAAAAACATTTTTAATTGATCAAAGTAATTTCTTAATCATTTTTATTCAAAAACTGATTGACCTGGTTATTGAATCATACTATTCAAGATCCAAAATGAATGTTTTACATTACACTATTTTAGTAACAGTTCAGTAACATTATAACATTTTGTGGAAGCTCACGTCACTTGTCCATTCTCAAACAGAATGCTATAATCACCACAAATACTTAAAAAACAAATATCTGTCCATTCCTTCATACTAAAAGAATTAGTGAATTTGAATCCATTCTTAAGCTTCAATTTTAAACCTTGAGGTGTAGCCATAAACAAAAGGGATCAATTCAATGCAAGAGTCCGTATTTATTTAAATTAGTGTTTCACAGCCAAGGTTCTCATCCACGAATAATCTCGTCGAATATGGATGACCGTCCTCGTTCATCTATTTAATCGCGGAACAGTCTGGTTCCGTAACGGCTCGAGGTGTTAGTAATCGCGACGATTTGTCTCGATCTTCGCGGTCACCTTGTCAGGATTGTTTTTTAGGAGTGGGACGAAGATTCTTACTCAGGGCCCGTCAGAATTTATCCATGAGTTCATTGAACCACTGCTGATATCGCTTTCTCACGAAGGGTCGGCTTCCGGGTCTTTTTTGTTGTGTCCTAGGTGTCGTAGCCTCCAAATTTAGAGCGGTCGTTCCTGGAATCCGAAGGATCCTATGCGGATAGCTTTTTTTGCGCGTTCGGAGGAATCACATAGCTAATTCGGCAAGTTTGACGTCAGTGGTCGATATCCTTTTCCAGGTAATAAGTCTGGAAAGGTTTGAATGTTTCCGTTTGATTTCCTGATAAGATTGAACTCAGACCTTGCGTTTTATGAATTGGATTTGGATTCTTAACATGATCATCACGCATGAGGAGATGGTGAGTTTGGAGATGGCCTACGACACCGCACTTCTTGTGAAGGCAACCACTTGTCAGTTCTTCCTCAATGGGTGATTTCTTAGTGTACGAACAATGTTTCAAACTTTGGCCGAGCGAGTTGTTCAACATTTTGGACTCAATCCACGCAAACTCCAGGCTTAAGGATGTTGAAAAGACGATGGATATGACGTCTGCGGAGTTTGTTGACAATTCGCAAGTTCAACCTTTCAAGGATGGACCTAGAGGCGGAATGTGGAACGTGCTCGTCTGCTTTGGGAATGGCACTAGAATGTCTAAGAGGTATTGTCTCGTCAACAAAAAGAACATAAAAAAAAATTATGCAGATGTAAACACTAACTGTTAAACATCCAAATTGCAAGGGATTTGGACTAGGGTTTGGAAGATTCGCGAGTACCTAGAAATACACGAAGATGGCCAGTCTGCACTTAAGCCGCTGAGAGAAATGGAGTACTTGAACACCTCTTATATTGGTCATCGGCATATGAACCCAGTGCGGGCTGTGTACGTAACACTGGAAATACATTTGACGGATGAGGGTTGTAATCATTTCAAAATCCATTGGCTATGGTTCCGTGGCGAAGTTAGAACAAAAATTTGACGACAGGCCACCAAGCTACTTTGATGATATTCATGCTGTTGTATTTTGACGGATTGAGCTTGCACACAAACTAGTTGTATGGTGAGAAACTTTCACTTCACGCTTGGGTTATCCTCGCAGCATTCATTCACTCCCTGGACTCCCAATTTCATGACTCATGGTTTAATTGAACAGGATAATGGTTGTACACATGTTTTCCAGAAACATTGAGTCAGTCTCAAGCTTTAGTATGACCCAAGTTCGAAAGATTCCACTTGTGTAGTTTAGCTGCAGTACTTGGCACTGGCAATGATTGAAGTAGCAGACATCCCGAACTACGCTTGCCGTTGAACAAACTTGGATTTACGGATCGGAATCAACAGATAGGTGAGATCCTTCATGAAAAGAAACTTCATTGTCGAAGGCACTGTCAGCATGCTGTGCTGAAAGTATCAAGCTGGTGCTGAAACATTTTTTTGAGATGCTTCTATCGAGGCACTGCCAACAAAATCTGCATTTTAAGACTGAAAGTGGGGCTTAGTTGACCAAAGTATCATTTTCGCAATTAGAGGTTGGATCGAAATTGAAGCAAAAGGCGAAAGAGCGAAACAGCGAAAGAGCGAAGATACGCACCAGCTATGACGAACTCTAGGTATAGCATTTTACAAATGTCACGTGCAAATTTGTTTACTTAGTAGTATGTAAAAGGGAGGTGATGTTGTACAACCAATCTTGCAGAGGCTTACTACAATGGCCCAGTTTATAACATTAATGTCATGAATCAAACACGTCAGTGAATGAACAATCAAGGTAAATCCTTGAATGAGATGATTTTGAGTTGCACTTGCAGATTCTAAAAACATGTTCAACATTACAAACAACAGTATTCACAATAACTATACTCAATTTCACTGTAGATCGAGAAAAATATCCAGTAATTAACATTAGTAAAGTTCCCAGGTCTAGAAATTATCTATTTTCCGCAGACGGTGAGCGGATGATTCGGTTTCTTACATTGCTCATGGAAACAAGATCAAACTCTTTGAATGTGAAGGGAAAACTGAATACAACCGACACAAAAACAACATCGATTATGTCAACTGTAATCTGAGTTCATCGTCAACCACCTGCTACAGAATCGGATGCAATGGAATAACGATTCCAGACAGAGTGTGGCAGTAGGGGAACGTCTCCTCCTGAAGCGTCGATTATCGTTTTGGTTGTTTTTCTTCGTGTCAGCGATGGCATCCAGGGGCTGCGCCGGAGCCTTTGAATGCGGGGCAATGCGCCAACGTCTCTTCCGAGGTCCAGGCCCCGGAGCCGAGACACACGAAAAAAATAACTGCCCCGTTCCAACCAGAATCCGAGGGCGGGAGCTTGGCGGGGATTCGGCCCCATAATGGGCGGGACGCATGGCGGGAAGTGCATCTAAAATTTGAATGGGCCGAGTCGACGTGTGCATAAGGACAAAAAGCCAAAGTCTTCACAAGGTCAACTCCATGTCGCCTTCGTGGAAAGACAAGCCCAGTCCCTCGACCAAGACCCTCCCCAGACTCGTTACTCATGTCAAACCGTCTTGGTTCCCATTATCGATCGATTTCATTCATCCATCGATGCTGACGAGGCATTTTTCCTGTGAGTGTGACGTGGTTCCCGCATCATTCAGATACCTTTTTGGTTTGTAACTGTGGGTCTTGAAGGGGCCTATAAACTTAAGAAGGAGTATCTAGTCGAAATAGTGTGCATTAACTAATGTCCGTATTTTAACATGATCACTTTATCCCTGAGAACAATAATAGGAATGATTTGATTTTGACGTTGATTTTGATCTGGTTGACAGGTAGATTTATTTGCTTTTCAAATTGTAGTAAATGTTCATGCTCGTGGATATTAAAATTTTATTGTGATGTAGTGTTTTTCAAAGGAAATTTCATGTTTAATTTTTTACAGCTGGGGATGTTAATCTTACGAGTATAATTTTCAAACTTGGAATTTGGAACTAAATGTGTGTATTTTACATTTCGACAAAGAGTGTCATGAGAGAAAAAAAAATGTATGTATGTATGTATGTATGTATGTATAATGAGTAACATGTAAAACAAAATATGCTACACAAAAAACTGGTTTGAAAATATATACACCATAAGAATCAAAATTATAAAATAATATAATAATACTAGTATAATAAAAGTTTATAAAGTTGTCATTTTAAAAACATTCGTAGATATTCTGTAAAAACCATGTATTTGACACTTTCTACTTTTTCTCAAAAAAACATGCATTATTTTTTATATATATAAATATACGAAATTTTATATTATATATAAAAAATAAAAAGGTAATCTATGAATAACAACGTAAACACAATTCAAAACTTGAAAAAAAAAAAAATGTGATTCTTGAATTGCAAATGACATCAAATGTATCTATTAGTTACTCTTAGATTACAAAGCAGTGACAGCACATTACTTTGTGACAAACTTTAGAAGGTATTTTTTTTAAAACGTTACTGAAAGTCAGTTTGGAACTAGTCACTATTATTTGAAAAATATTTTGTGCTTGGGAAATATCTAAGAATTTTTATACGTTTCATTCTTTAAGAATGACTTCTAGAATATAATCAGACATTAAAATTCACAATCTAGTATGTCAAGTGGTCTATATTGTAATTAAATAAAATTAAAATTAAAATTTTGAGTTGTTATGTTACACACATATATGGAATCCAAATAACAGTCATTTTTTGTATTTCAAATCTCTCATAGAAACTATCATAAATTTGGGTACATATTTTATAGCTTCCTTTATTTGATGGTATTACTTTTCAACGGAATTGTGCGTTATCACTACATACACATTAACAAAATGATAAAATAATACAAGTATAGGTTAAACATCAAATATTAAAAATGAGTGTACATCTTCTGAACTAATCTTCTTTAAAACAAAACTGTTAAAATTGTTCCCATTGGTTTTAATAGTTCTGACATTTTAGTTATTGTGGTTTGTCTCAAATGCTATAGAACTAGTACTCAACCACCTTATTGATTCTTTATACACCCAAGTTGTTATCAAAACTCTACCTCTCCAAATTTACAAGCTCGCTGTAAAAATTTAACTCTTTTTAAAACAAAAAATTGCAATATTCTTTTGGAAAAAGATTAAAAAAATATATAATTACATTAACTTCTGGTATTGTCCACTTTCATACTCCCTCCTTAAAACAATCTGTTGTTTTTGAAGCAAGTAATAAATTTTCTTTGTCTTTACATGGTTACTTCCCAAATTATCATACTGTAATGGAAACACAAAGTATTATGTCCAGATTTTAATACCGTTAAGTTTTTAAACTTGAACAGAATGCTTGTTTATTTGTACTAAAGAATTATTTTGAATTGATAAATCAGTAGACTTTTTAAAGATCTGCCACTGGTATGGATAAGATTTAAAAATTTTAAAAAATTAAAAAATGTAAACATCCAAAACTACACATTTCAAAACTAATTGTTCTTTTACATGTGATAGAGTTCAACGAATTGTAGCAATGTGATATTTAAATAAACATCATTTAAATGTTTTGTGGCAATTAACATAGAATAAAGAATACACATAAAAATCATATATATATATATATATATATATGATTAAATTGTTTGACGATAAAATCACCAGAAGTATAATTTGTAAAAGACTAACACATTAGTTAATGTAATAAATATACTGAAAGCCATATAATTATATAACCCTTGATAGTGTGCTATTTTAAGTCACAGGTTTCTATTTATTACTAATTCAGCAAAGACTATATATTACAAAACTAGACAATTTTTTTTTCACGAAATCATCTATTTCGTACTCTTAACCTAGTGGATTTTTAAGTCGATTACAATACTGCTAGCACAATGTAAGAGTTAATCATGTTTGTAGTGTCAAATGTATGTCTATACATTGACCACATGAAAAACAATTAATATGAATAGGAATATGTATCACCTTCCCTCAAAAACCTTTTTAAGGAATAGACGTATTTAAATAGAAGCAAGAGATTTTGGGTATGATACAAACAAGGAAAAAGTATCTATAGAAAAGAAATCCAACCACACATACATCTCCATGATATGTTTTGATACAAGTTTTTTCGCTCAAGCAACAGATTCACCAAAAGCTTTAATAATTTTTTTTGTGGTCAAAAACAATAATTTTTTTACTCTTAATACAGTTCTACACAATACATGTAAGGTATATTTTATTATAATTTATTTCAAATAATTCAACTGTTCTGAATAAGCTAGCAATTATCATTGAATTTTTCCTCTACTTCCAACTTTTTTGCCAATATTACTAAAATTTACATCAAATCATGGACCACAAGCACCAATATGTGGTAAAAGGCTCCTCTAATGTCCACGGTCATGCCTGCACAACATGGAGCCCAATTCCGTCCCGTGAAAGGGCCCATTAAGCTCTGGTGCAAAGGAGCCGAAAGTTCCTATCGCCGTTCAATAGCACACAATTGCATACATCGCCAATCCTATGAAATTCCACCACGTGTTGTTGCCATGCAATTCCCGCCACGAAGTGCTCCCGATATTTGGACGACGTGGCGAAGCCCGTGGAATCAACGCACTTGGTTCCTTTGAGAGAGGGAACGGCAGAGGGGGATGAAATTGAAACTAGATGAAAAGTGTTCATCTATTCTCAGCAGATGCGAAAGGGAAAATAATGGAGAAACAAACTGTTGTGCAGCCTAGCTTGGCGACCGGCGAGGTCCGCTGGCCGGGCTCCCCAGGGCGAGGGATGGGTTGGCGTATTTTCCTGCCCAGCCCGGCCCGGCCCGCTCCAGAGCTGCGACGCCTTGCGAGAGACAGAGGGAGTGAGAGTTTGCGAGGGTCACAGAAAATGCACTCTCACTCACTCCCTTCACGCCAAACGCCTCCCCGCCTCTTGGATGCCAACCATTTCGACGTGATTTGTTCGCTGCTCCACCGTGGCCCGCGCCGACGTTTTCCCCCCCACCCCCTTTCTTTCCTTTCCACGGATCCCCGCTTTCATTCCGTGTTTTAGTTGCGTTTATTTGAGCTTCTCAGCTGCAGAAACGGCCCTAAAACGAGGATATTACCCTAGAGCTGGAGTGTTATGGTTTGAAGGTACTGGAATGTGCGGAACTGGATTGTCGTGGATCAGTGTGCATTGCCATGATTTGTTCGGGTTCTCCATGAGGGTTTGAGGTGGAACTATCGTGGTCGAGGCCTGGCCTGTTGCGCCGGTGGTGCTTGTTTAGGCCCCGTCCGGCGTGCAGGTGTTTTTTGTTCTATTGTTTTTTTGGATATTTTCGTGTTGGGCGTTTCGGAGGTCAGAGTGTAGCGCGGCAGCAGTTCAATGGGAGATTGGGATCATTCGAAGCGGTATTGAATAGAGGTGAAGAGTAGTTGGAAACAAGTTCAGGAACGGGGCATCGCTAGTTTGGCGTGGGGAGGAGTTTAAACAGTGGGTCTTGTCTAAGCATTGTTGTAATTCGTGGGCTTCGGCGAGGGCATTGAAGAGCGCCAGCGGGCTCGAGAAGTTGATGTAACAGTGACTCTTCTTGAAATTTATTACCTGGTTTTTTGGACTCTGCCACCAACCAGTCTCAGAAAAAAGACTTAGAGTTGCGGTAAAGCTGCAAGATTGTTTAGCGCTTTCTGAAGCTCTACGAAGTGGCTTCTGCATTGAGTGCGTAGTCTTGCACGCGTGAAGCATAGTCTTGCACGCGTGAAGCATATCTATTTCGGGCCCTGACTGCGCGGCACAGAGCAAGTTTTGAGACGCTGCTCATTATTCAAAGAGATCTTTTCTTGTGTTTGACTCGCGGCATCTCGACTAAAGTTTGCCCTTTCCGAAGACCATCTGCACAGCCGACTCAGAATTCTTTTAAGTATGTTCAATATTCGATTTCGGGGTGCATCAAAGTTCGAAGAACTAGCTGTTTCGTGAAAATCTGTGGCCTGAGATAGCAGGAGAATAAAAAATATCTGGCCCTGAAGTCGACGATGGAGGCTCACTGCTTTGGTTGCAAAAGAGCAGTGGTTCGTGCGCAGGCCTTATCTGGATTTACCTTCGGATGAAACCCTCGCAATAGTAGAGCGAGGCTGTCCGGTTGGGATATAGCATTTGGCGAATCGCGAGAAGTTGTTTTCCTACCTTCGCCTTTAGGGCATATTTAGAAAGTAGCGTTGGAGCTTGGCCGTGAAGCTTTGGAGCGGCAAGGGCGAGTAAGCGAGGTTCAAGATGTTTTACTCGCAGTTGATATTGGCGAAAAAGGGTCCGCTGGGGACCATATGGATAGCTGCTCATTTGGAGCGCAAGTTGCGGAAGAATCAGGTCACGGAAACAAATATTAGCGTATCCGTCGGTAAGTGTGCTCCTAACTCGTTTAAGGCATGGAAACCGAACGTTGGAGAGAGCAGTCTTTGTAAGTTACTCCTGGTGACACATCTGGAAGTCAGTTTGCAGTCGTGTAACCAAAAAAATGTATGAACAAGTAGCAGGCAATAGTCAGACAGACTGAGTAGAGTTGGGTTTGAGTGAGGTATCTTAATGAATGAACGGGAAACGTAGGGTGGGTTAGTGGATGGAATGACGATTTCGATTCCTCATGTCCTGCCGGTGCGAGAAAAAATGTCAAGGAAGTGGTGTGAGGGTTTGTTAAGAACGGGCGTGTAGCCACGTACTTACGCTCAGGAAATGGAGAAGGCTGTACAATAGATGTAGCTGATTAATGCGGGTATGCCGTGCTGCACGTTTCATGCCAAGGGACCTTGACGCTGATTCCTCTTTTCGAGACGTCTTTCAATCTGGGTGTAGATGTTTTTGTGTCAGTATGCTCTTGGTACCCCTTGGGCCAATTTGAGCACGTTTGAGGACTCTTGCGTGGTTCAATGATGCTCCAGATTTTGTGGCGGGGTACGGAGTATGTCGATTGGGTTAATTTGAAGATCTGTGCGGAATGTGCTGTATGATGTAGTGGATGAGTTGAGGGGTGAAACCCTTGAACTGCTGAGAGATGTGATGTGTGGTAAGCCGGATGGGCATTATTTGGTTGGTGACTTGAACACTAGCACGCGATATCCAACTGCAAGGTGATATGCATGGGTTTTGTGTGATCTGGTCTTGTCTTGGAGGAGAACGTGAGAGAAGGCATGCATTTGTCGTAGGTGGTCTGATACGTCGCAATGTGGGTTTGGTGGTTTGGCAGACTCCATTTTGTTCCCGGAAGCTCCTATTGCTCTGAGGTTGTCTGGGCACCTGCTGCTGGGTGTAGTTCGGATTTACTCCCGAAAGGTGAACTACCTGTTCCATGACTGCAGCGAAGCGCTAACGAAGATCAAGCAGGCGTTTCATGCGGGGGCCGTGGACCTTCCGCCGGAGTCGTCGACAGCTCCATTTCATGCGATCACTCTGCCAGAAAATTTTGATCTTGACGAGTTCGAGCCTCTTGCGGAAAGGGAAAGTGTGCTTCTTGCCAGCGGGTACGGGTGACTTGGTTGTTGGTGGTTGGCGTGGGAGAGGGATTCAAGTGTTGCCTGGTGAAACTTGTGATTGAGTGCCTATCTGGTGTTTGGGATTATGTGGAGGTTTTGCAAACAGAATGCGGTCCATGTGAGTATTGGAATTGAAGTGACTTGTTGACTCTGAGAGCATCCAAGAAGTTTGGTCTGAGAGGGATTTGTATGGGTGGTGTCGGATGAACAGGGCTACGGATCAACATGTCACTACCCGTGAACTCATCACGCTGCAAGATCAGATGGAGGAAAACATCTACTTCGGATCGCAATTCGATCTTGATGGTATGGGATGGGGTCTTGCTGAGAATCTAATTTGCAGTAGGCCAGTGAAACTATTGATGAAGGGTGTGCGAACAGAATGTGGAGAGGAAACTTTTGCACATAGTAATGTCTGTGGTGTTATTTTCGATTCTTTTTTGTCCCTTTGTTCTTGTTCATATACAGGGGAGAGATGGGGATTGTGGTGTTGAGTGTTTTGATGAAGTCGTTAGGCGTTGATTGTGTCAAGAGATGCAAGCACTTTGCAACTTGAACATAAAGTGCTATGCCCTGTCGTTGTGATTGGAAGTCGACAAAGGGAAGACATGAAGACGACCCTGTCCGTCCGAATTCTCACCCGACATAAGGCGTTGACTGATTTCTGGTTGGCTGGTTGTGATGCGCAGAGAGACTTCCTCAAGCCGATTTGCCACGCATTGGACTGGATTTTGAAGAGGTTAGTTACACTCACAAGTTTGGGATGGATGTCATAGTTTCGGCAGAAGGAGGCAAAGAATAATTGCCAGATTAAACATGTGCCAGGAGACTTTGTGGAACATGCGTTTGGTTGTTGGAAGGTGTATGTGCTAAATGCGTCATAAGTAGCTAGACGTGACGAAAAGAGCTAAAGTTTATGACCTGGCAATCTGTGGGTAATGAGGAGAATTGGTGTAAAGAAGGAAGGAAATTAAATGAGTATTGAAACATGACTGTTTCAAGAGCCTGTTTGTCACGAATTTATGAAGCGAAGATATTTGTGTGAAGCGGCACAGAATGTGTAAGAGAGAGAAAGATCTGATGGAAATCCTGGCGGAGATGGATGATTGCGGGTTGGATGTTGTGGACATCCCTGCATCCGTGCGTTGCAGACCTTAAAACTGGCTATCGAAATCTGCGTGACCTGTAAATGGTTTATGTGTCGCAACTATTGGGAAGTCGAAGTAATACTCTAAGTGAATGAGCAGTGGCATACCACATTGAAGAATGGTCAAATATCGTATTGAGCTATGCTACGTGATACATCCGCAGCTTGTTTCACAGCAACAGCTGCCTGCCGTTTAGAGCAATCTTTGTGATGGTCTTTGTGATGGACGAGGGGTCGCATGCGTCTTGAAGTTGTTTTAATGATGTACTGTGTGGACGTTGTGTGTGCAGGAGGAGAGGGAGAAGGAGGCTCGAGAACGTGAGCGGAGCCCAAGATTGAGTTTAGAGGAGGAGTAAATACGACGTCCTTTCATGATGCAGAGTCGTTGCTTATTGTTCGTGCTTGGTTTGGACGGGACATGCATACTTTCAGTGTACACATTGCCTGCAGCGTGCACGGGGTTTTCATGCAAGAAACGGGTGATTTTAACATGATGTTCGTGTTGTGTGGAACCAGAGTGGCACCAGCAGTGGAGGAATATCGGATCGACTTTGACCGGTTGGACCAGATGGAGGCCATGGATATGGAGCAGTTGCAGCCGATGACCCCAGCTCACCCTTCCGTGGTAGGAGTGGAGGAAGAACTGGTGGAGCGCCCTGTGGAGCAGGCTGAAGAACTTGAACAACTAGCGCCTGTCACAGAAGTGCCAGAGCAGCTGGGTCCTGTGGACGTAGAGATGGAACTTGAGGAAGAGCCGAGGGCGGTTGAAGCAGAGGTTCGCGTTGGATCCGCTGCGGAGATGGAGGAAGAAGTGAGCCGGCCAATGGAGGTGGAAGGGCAAGGTGAGGCAGGGGAAGAAGTCGTGGAAGTCCCTGACGAGTTGGTTCCAGCCTTGGAAGGTGCCGCAGAGGAACTACCCAGGGTTGTCTCTCCACCTCGTTTGGGATTGGAAGCGGAAGAGGTGCCGGAAGTGGAGACTCTCCGGTCTGCAGTGGATGCGCCGACTGAGCAGGCCACTGACCTGTTCGCTTTCGAAAGGGAAACGGCGAGGTCGAGCAGGGACGTATCAGCGAGGTAAATATCTATAGACTGTAGGTTGGGAACTCGAGTGTGATAACGAGGAACTGGCATTCAGTGTTGTCTTGGAACGCACAGAGTTTAGTGTTCGGTACGGAAGGTTTTGTTGGATTTGGCGTTTAGAGGGTTCGTGAGTGTTACTGTGATGTGCTTGAGCCCCAGAAGTTGGTGTTTATTTCAGTTTCAGCAGTGTGCATGGTATTTAGAGACGATATGGGTGGAGAGACCAGCGGTGGATGGTCTTCTGTAGACCGTAGTTGGAAGAAGGAGCCTCTAGCAGTACAGCAAGCGGGTATTGGGCATGATTTTGTAACGTGTACATGGAAATGCAGGGACACCGTTGAACCGATGGAGCAGCCGTTGGAGGTTGCTGAGATTGCAGAGGAACTGCGAGAAGCCTCAGTAGAAGCGATTCCAGGCCTGACATCACCGAGGAGGAGGCCCAGTCTTGATCTACCACGCGATGACGATGTGCTGGCAACATTGTTAGGTGTGTGGCACTATCGTTGAGTCGTGTGATTCGAAGAAGATGTTTCACAGTGTTGCCGTTGTTGGTGGTCCCGGCTAGGAGCTGGAGATTCTGATAGAATGTGATAGAATGTGCTCAGTGGGATTATGGTGGTTACATCCTGTGGTGTTGCAGATACTGTTAGCCCTGGGTCATGGTTGCGAATGAATCTGAAGGGTATGTTGATTAGAGTATCCGTGATGAGTAGCGATCCGCAGATGGTGGTGATACTTGTATGTTGCGTAATGCATGACATGAGCATGGTTCTGAGCGTTGACTGGTAACAGGGGCCAGGGCTACACCATCTTTGAGAGTCATGGCTACTCCCAGTGAGGAGGCTCCTGCTCGGAGGGTGAGGCGAGGTCCGAAGGCTGTGGGCAAGAAGAGGAAGCTTGTGCTTGACGCGGCGACGGTTCTGCATGGAGAGTAAGGAGGCGTTATTGGTCCATCGCTGTGGATTTTGTGGAACATGATTGAGGTTATGAGAAACATGCAATGTTGCGTTTGGTTGGAGAGGCATGTGCTGACTTGGGTTGAGATGAACTGTGTTCAGCGTGATGAGGCAACAGTTGGCGAATTCAAGTGACATTCGGAGGGTGCGCAAGATAGCTCCATGCACTCGGAGTGAGCTGTGGATCGTGCACAGACAGACAATAGGACAACAAATCTTTAGCGAGCCTTCCGTGCCTGGTACCCATCAACGTTTGTCTTACTATTGCAGCGTGGGCCGAGACATGGTGGGAAGTGCCAGCAATTGTGGTCGTTGTGTGCGATTGCTGCCTTGCCTCTGGGCTTTGTACGGATTCGGCTTTGTGACGAGTCCGTGGTTGAGAGAGGTCTGTTCGGTCGGGTGATGGAGAGTATCTTGTTTATGTTGGGCTGTTAGTGAGAAGTGAGGTCTGATGGTTTGTGCAGGTGTGAGCAACGCGTTGCGGGTGCTTTATGACCGTGTGTTAGTGACTGGTGCTGCGGACTTGCCATCAGCTGGGCGTGAACGGGAAGTCACCCCTGAGGCAAACCGGGAGGATGTTCCCGCTACCCCGGGCGCTGCAGCTCCAGTGGAGGAGCCCGACACTGCCGAAAGGAGTACAGCTGGGGAGCAACCAGAAGATGAGCGAGCAGCGGGTGCTGAACCGGCCGGTGAGTTGGTCGAGGAGCCAGGTCTGGAGTTGGCTGTGGTGGAGCCAGTCATGGATGCAGTTGCTGAATTTCCACCTGAAGCAGGTGTAAATCCTACGCCCTCCGCGTGTTCACGAGTGTTGTTATGGTGATGGTTTATACGTTGAGGGGGTGAGGTGATTAACGTGATGTTTGGGTCCGCATTGGCTCTGCAATACTGTCGATAGGTTGACCTCCTGGGTGTTGATATTAAGGTAGAGGGGGTTGGAAGGTGGTGCCGGCATTTCCGGTGCCGGGATCCTGAGGTTTCGTCCAGAGCTTGCAAGTGAAGGAAGAAGGCCGATTTCTCAGTTTGACCGAGTTTTGATATTTGGATTCTTTGTGTTCAGGTGAGGATCTTACAGCCGCGGTGGATACCCGTCTGGAATCTGAAGTTCGACCAGAAGAAACTGCTGAGTTGGCGGAAGGTATGGAATTGCATGGAGATATGTTTCTGAGTTGGCAGTAACTATGAACCTGAGGTTGAGTTGTTGGTCGGATTTAGAGTGCTCCCTCTCTTGCCATATTGAGGGTCTCGGGTAGTGAAGTGTCTTGCTTTGGTTTTGTGCCCCAATATATTTACGGACGGTTCTGAAACGAAGGTTTGCTTGGCATCGAACAGGTTCCGTTCCCACGGAGGAGGGCGTAGAGTTTCCAATGCTGGAGACGGAGCCAGGCATAGTCTCAGAACCTCCTGTGCCTGAATCGGGTCCAACAGCAGAACCCATTCTGTTGCTGGAGTCGGAGGCACAAGAGGAAGCAGAAGTTAAAGAAGAAGTTCTCGCGGAAGCGGCCTCAGAGGAATTGGTTGCGATGGAAGAAGACGTGGAGATAGTAGGAGAGGCAGCTGCTGGCATCGAATCGGAGTTGTTGCACAAAGTTGCTGCAGAAGCAGAGGCCGTAGCAGAGGCAGTTGCGGGAGGGGAGGCCGTAGTCGTGGAAGGAGTGGATGGAAGAACTATTATCGTGCTGGAGGACGACGGGACAATTATTGACGAGGGCCCATCTTCGTTGGTTGGAGTGAAGGAAGAAGTTGTTGGGGAGGAGATTCAGGAAGAGGTATGCGTGAGTGGAAGATTGGAGGGGGAGCTTTTAATGCTATTTCCAGCATAGGATTGGTTTGGAGATGATTTCATGAAGAGCCTTGGTGGAGTTTTGAACTGCATGAGTTGCGTACGTCTGGTGAGGAGCATGCTAACTTGTGTTCTTTTGACCAGGAACTTGGGTTTCTCGGGGAGCCAAGAGAAACAGGTGCAGCATGCGGCTTTTGCGCTCATCTGTTTTCTTTTTGAACACTGCTGTTGTGTTTGTGTTATTTGTGCTTATATGATGTGTGATGGAACCTACTTGGTTGTTGCATGGCGATGGGCGTACTTTGTGCTGAGAACGGTTCCTTGGGTGTGACGTTTTCAACGCCGTTGCTGAAAAGAATCGTGTATTTGCAACTGCAGTGTTCCTTCAAGACGTTGACGACGATCTGCACGAGGAGGCTGAGAGTTATGACGACAGTGTTCAAGATGTAACATTACAAGGGTTTGGTGGCTGGTCAGCTCGCACGAGGTAAGGCAGATTGGCAAATCTTACTTCTCCAGTTTAGGATTGCATATGGAGTGACAACCTCACAGTCGCAGGAGCATGTTTGCTGCGATTTTCCATTACGGGATAATAATGGGTTGCTGTTGTCAAAATGCAAGTTCACATGTATTCAGTAGGCAGGCGGCGGATGGGTAGTAATCCGGTTGCAATAAGTGTGGACATATGAGCGTAGTGCACATATTGGTGGTGTTTGAGACGCAGTGCTGTCTTGGTCGTCTGTGTTCTTTTAATTGGTAGACGGTGGGTTGTTTATACAGGGCTGTAGGTGGATACCTGCAAGGAGTCTTCGCCGGCTTGGCCGGTGGTGCAGAGATTAGAGAAAAGGAGCAGTCTCCTAAAATCGGGCTCGACTACACACTTCGGGGAAAGACGAGGAAAGAAGCGGCTCGGTTGTTTTTCGAGACCTTGGTATGCACTTTGCTGAGGCTGTACGAGGGTTGCATGAAGAGGGGCATATTGTAGGGTGTTGTATATGGTAACCACAGTTGTTCGGAAGGTCTTCAAAACGAGACGCAATTGTTGTGCATTAGAGTGTCCAGGCTTTGGAACACCTTTTGCCGTGACGGTTAAGTGAAATGAGTGCGCCAGGAATCCTGTGATTGCGTAACCTTTCCAACCTCGAAACCAATCTGTGGACTGATGTTGTCGGACGCGATATGCATTTTGTTAGAGGATCGATTTGGATGTGTTGTGCAAGGAGGCAGGTGCATGTGACTGATTTCCCTCCAGGTTTTGATACGAGCTCATGCACTTGTTGATATGGACTGGGTAGGTATTGAAGACGAAGGACTACGTGGATGTTGAGCAACCGCAACCGTACGGGGAGATCTACATTTCAGCTCAGCCCAAGCTAATGAAGGCCAGCTTTTAGGGTTCCTTGGCAAGGAGAAATCTGTCTTTAGTTCTGTTAGCGGAATTTACGTACATTAGATGGAGCCCCTTCAGTAGTTTGTGAATAGATGAGTCGTAGAGACCGGTCTTTTAGGGTGCCCACTGCGTCTCTTTTACGGGCCGCAATATTCCCGAGATTGCAGCCCCCCGGTTTTCATTGTAATCTTTGTGGGTACTTTATAATTTATCTCAATTCTTGTATGTCAGTCTGCGAGTAACAGGATTTAATACCACATGTCATATGCCAATGTGAAGCTAATGGTTTTTCATTTTACATCAAGGAAAGTTTTGCCATGCATATTATACCAAACACCATGCGCCGAAGATTGCAGCACAAAATTTCACAAAATAAATTTCTTGAAAACTACATAATTTTTACAAATCCTTTATTTTACAGAGTCATTGTAATTATTCTTAATGAATGATCTCAAATTTGGAGTTGCTTCGTTCCGTAGACTCATCATCAATGGGAGTTGATCACTTGGAGGCTTTGAAAGAGTGAACGAGGGGTGTGGCAGGTGTGAACGAGGATGAGGGGAAAAGGTCATCGCTGAGGAGGGGGGGGGATCACGAAAGCGGAGCATCTAAGGTTGGAGCGCATCTCCTAACATGCAGGCAGGCCATCGCAGCAGAAGCACCAGGAGCAGCAGCAGCACCTTCACACGAGCACACATTAGCACAACCACGACGCCGACGGTGGAGGTGGTCTTGGTGCACTCGCCCAGTATTTTGCGACGACATTGCACCGGGCATTCACGGTTTAAAACTCGCACGAAGGTACTGCCTGCTTCATTGCGCTCGCTCTCTCGCTCCCTTCCTTCCTGCTCAGGTTCATGCATGTAATAGCACGACACCCGGACCAACTTGTCAACTTGCTCGCCCAGCCACCACCATCACTTTCACGGCCGCATGTGTCGCCATTACTCGGTCTGCCTCCGCTCTTCATTGGGACAGCATTGTTTCTCATCATCTTCGTGGGTTGAGGCTTGATTTGTGGCGCTCCAGAGTGTTAAATTGTAAGTAGGAAATTCTGGACGGTTGCGGCAAGGAACGCCGTTGAGGGTGATTGCATGGTGGTGTGCCTGGTGGTGTGAGGTGACGCTCGGTGTGTCGAGTTGTTTGAAGTGGAAAGGTTGGTGCAAAGTGCGACTTGCATTGAGTGTGAGCATGGGCAAGCCAGTGGAGTGCAGCGATGCTGTCGGTGTCTCTAACCACGCGGACCTAGACTACTCTTCAGACTTGACGGATGTAGAGAACTACGAGGAGGAGTGCGGTTTTGTACACAGAACCTTAGAGATTCCCAAATCGCGCAGTTCCGGCGTGTTTGTTGACAGTGCAGCATTGCCGGAGTTAAGATTAAGGCTTAGGATTCATGAGCATTTTCGGCTCTCCCAAGAAGTCTTACTGAATTCTTGCACTGTGAGTACTTTCGATTGGAATTGGTGCGTTTCGTTAAGCCCTCGAGAGTGGAAAAAGTAGGCAGTGTTAAGGTGGTTGGGTCCTAGTAAGTTTCTGCCATTGGACTTCGAAGTTGTGCGAAGGCGTTTTGTGTCCTGTTACCATAGACCTTGGTGAGAAGTATAAAATAGGCAGGGATTGCTGATTGAGATATGTGACCGCCAAAGAATATTTTTGGTTTTGTAGGACGAGATTGCGTCAATCCTGACAAAATTGTACGAGTATATTGAGAAGTTGCAAACACGAGTGAAGGAACTGGACT